AGAACAGACCTATTTTGAATATACAGTAGGTTAAAATTGATCAATACATCTTGGGGACGGCCGCAGCTTTAACGAGCCTGGTCTGAGGATGGACTGACCAAAAAAGGTATGCTTCGAACACAAAATAATTAGTTGTAAATTACGTGTAATATAATGCATTTGGTCAATGTTTTGAGGATAGGCTGCACACAATCTTACTTCATGGTCTCCAAAAAATGATCAGTGTCCTAAAAGCAAACCGCTGACCCATTTTTATATTCGCCAACTTTTACCTTACTATTTTTTCCATGGATAAAAAAAGCACTTTCCGGCCCTAGACCCCCCCAAGCGAGCGTAACCTTGCCGGCCTGGAACATAAATGTGTAATGTATATCCAGCATAAAAGCTCGGCGGGTGTTAAAATTGTCCAGGCCGAAATCGCTGGATCAGTTGATGCGTGCGGGAAGGCAGGAAAGGAGAGCAGGCAGGCAGGAATTTCCTTCAGTGTGAATCAAATATTAAGAAAATATATTCATCAAAGCACATTGAATAGATAAAATAAGTATAATGTGGTGGCTGTGGCTTCAGCGTCGACGATTTGAGGTCGGGGCCAATGATTGGGGCATAAACCAACCCGTCCTCATAAATAAAGGCCAAAGTCCATTCCATCCACCCACCAAACCCCCTGTTTATGAATGAAGACGATTTACACACGACTCACAACTGATGACGTTATCTTGAGGTTATCTTGAGATGATTTCGGGGCTTTAGTGTCCAACCAGTCTCATATTGGTCTGGTTTAAACTGTGATGCTTTTTAAAAAGCACAAGAAAGAAACTATCCCGTCTATAAGAAAAACTGTCAGAAGCTATTCAATAAAACACCTGAGTTACTGTACTCCTTGCAGCGCAGGTAAGACGTTATAATCAACATCTGGAGACCAACAGACATGACAGAATGTACAATATAGCCCCATTGAAAAGGGTATGCTAAGAGAATTCTAGACATAATTCTATATATACTAGGGGCCTAAGACTTTTCAATCCCCCTTCCTCTTAAATGTAAAAGGGCAAAACTAGCCCACTGTGAACAATAGGAAACTGGGCTAACCATCCAAATATTTAAGCCGGGTTATGGCTTCTACGTGGGACTGCTTGCTGCGGTGGCCAACAACCTTATTGAACATTTCGTCAATCAGGGTGGCGGTCCGGTTGGGACCAGGCAGCAGTGAGATTGAGCCAAAGGCCCATCACGGTATTCTAAGCAACACAGGAGACAGTTGGACAGAATTCATTGCACAGTTTTAAATGCAGATATTATAGAAACGGGAGACACTGAGGCAGAGCCCAAGTGCCGAGGCTCAGCCCAGCAGACACAAGCAGTCAATCACAATAAAGCGAACCCTCCCCCCTGTTCCAGCGTATGTCTCCAGTGAAGCCCAACTGATGTACCATTATACAATCCACCCCATCTCACCTTTCATCTTTCCCCCTCCCTTCCCCCTTCCCACGCCGTGATTCCCCCCTTTCACCTCCCCCCCCCTTAGCCTGCCATGTCATTATTGACCTCCCCCCATGCCTGCCCACCTACCCTCCCCGACCTCTTTCCAATCATTACGCTAGTGAGTTTTGGAGACACGAAGATCATAGGCAAATTAAGAAAGAACACAAATTGCGTGTGTGTGTGCGCATGTGTGACACACACACACACACACACACACACACACACACACACACACGTATAAGATAGGAACGTATAAAATACTCAGGGGAATTGACAAAGTGGAAATAGACGAAATGTTCACACGGAATAATAACAGAACGAGGGGACATGGGTGGAAGCTGGAAACTCGGATGAGTCACAGAGATGTTAGGAAGTTTTCTTTTATTGCGATAGTGGAAAAATGGAATGCACTTAAGGAGCAGGTTATGGAAGCAAACTATTCATAATTTTAAAACTAGATATGATAGGGAAATAGGACCGAGAGTCATTGCTGTAAACAACCGATGGCTAGAAAGGCGGGATCCAAGAGTCAATGCTCGATCCCGCAGGCACAAAAAGTACACACACAGGATGGAGCCTGCAACTGCTGAATAACACCCATAGTGCTAGCCGAATAGGAGTATCAGGTGAGATAATCTGCTCACTTGTTTTTATCACGGCTGGGAATCGATTCCAAGGATGCGAACGCTTTCCGCAAAAGCGGAAAAAAGCAACGTGAACGCTTTCCGCGTGCTTGTGTGCGTGCATGCGTGTGTTGCGTGTCAGCGAGCGCGTGTTGCGTGTCAGCAAGCACGTGTACGCGTGAACATCTGTGCACGACCGAGACCCCGTGCGTGTTGGTGTAATGAAACACATGTCCCACACTGGCCAGCGTGCGGCCCCCTCCACTCTGTGCTGTCTGTTCCTCTCCCTCCCTCCCACCCTCTTCTCTCTTTCTCTCTCTCTCTAACTTTCGCTTATCACCTCAGATAACCATCACTCTCAGACCAGCGTTCCTAAATATCTCCCCACAAGGGGTTCAGGGGAGGGGGGTCAGTGGCCCATGGGCGTCCTCACCAACCCACCCCCTAGCTCAGCGCCCACGCCCAACCCACAAGCCCCCAAACCTCATGCTACGATGCTCTGCAGTCTTGAACGAGCAATCCCAAGCACTCAGGTCAGGTTACATTTGAAATTTTGATTTAATTATAGCTTAGAAACGCCGTAAAATTAAGATTGGTCTAGAAGGATTACTTTATCCAGGCGGTCGCTTTAGCGTGAAGCTTGATATAAGCTGTTGATTTTAGATAATTCTTTTCATTGTCCCAAAAAACGGGTTAGTGTTATAAAGAGGTCTGACATGTCCGGTTAAGGCTTACGGATATTCATCATAAACCCGCCGTTTATTGTGACAGCCAACCACGCTGCTATAGAAGAAACTCAAGTCAACCGGAATGTGCTGGAATCGATCATGGGTTCCGGTTATTGTGTTCCGGATAGCAGGAGAGGCAAGGGGTGCGGGGAGAGGCCGTTGCTTAATATCCGGAGACACTAGCTAGCTACCTGGCCGTGGGAAACGTGTTTGACAGGCAGTTGTTCCTTTATGTCTCACCCATCATTCCTCTCATTATGCTCCTCATTCTCTTTGCTCCTTTCTACTCCCTTACCTTTCTCTACTTCCTTTCAGGTAAGTTCAACTCCCCGTGGTTTCCAAAGTGAAATTTCCCATGTACTTGACAACTGTCTACCCACATTTCTTATTTATTCCCTTCATTAGTGCGTCTACTCTACCTCAGGAGGAACTCCAATCTACGTTGACCAGACCACACACTAGAAAGTGAAGGGACGACGACGTTTCGGTCCGTTCTGGACCATTCTCAAGTCGATTGTGAGACACCTTCACTTTCTAGTGTGTGGTTTGGTCAACATATTTCAGCCACGTTATTGTGACTCCTCGTCAACTCTCAATCCACCTTTCTTTCCTTCCTCCGGCAAGGCCTTCCTACCATGCACAAACCTTCACCCCCCCCCCCCTAGCAGACCAGACCTCCCAGGCCTCCACCCTCAATAGACCTATTCATCGCAAGCCTTCTCCCGCCTTCCACATTCACGGCCCTATTCTCTCCTCACGATCCCAGTTTACTTCCCAATTTCGGTTGCACCGTCATTCATTCCGGTTCCCAATTCCTCACCCCCCGCTGTTTCTTTCATTCACTCTCTCTCTTATTCTCTCTCTGTCTCTCTTTCTCTCTCTCTCTCTTTCTTCCTCTCTCTCATCATAAACGTCATAAGCAAGCCTAGAAGCGGTTCAGAGTGCTTCTCCACCAGCGGGCGGAGGCAAGCACAAACATGCATACAGTCTGAGAATAGCCACAGCCTCGGTGATCATGACTTATTCAGAGGAGACCATGCTTGCCAAGACACAGGGCGGGAGAATGAACCTAAAGAGCCACTCTCTCCCTCGCTCTCACGAGAGCAGGGAACTCTATCCTGCTCATCTTGCAAGCATTCCCCTGCGCTCAATAATGGACAATATAATAACACAGGCGTCCATATATTGTCTGCTCTGGCGATAGGATTCTGGGAGGGAAATTTAGAACGGGACATAATTATGGGACATATATTGTGTTTAATAGTGCTGCTGCGTACATAACAAAAGAGACCAATCTACTCTCGTTCCCATAATGCCCTACAGGGATTTGATAGAGAGAGAGAGAGAGAGAGAGAGAGAGAGAGAGAGAGAGAGAGAGAGAGAGAGAGAGAGAGAGAGAGAGAGAGAGAGAGAGAGAGAGAGAGAGTTCCTTATATGACAGTTTCAAAGTCATGAAATAAGGGAGTTTCTAGGAGCAGGCTTCACATGAGCTGAGGTAGGTTAACAGCTCTTGCTTGTAGTTTCACAAAGCACATTATTTGATATCCCTTATAAACCCTAGTCTTAGTTAAAAAAAAAAAAAAAACGCGAGTCAGAGGGGGGGGGGGAGGTGGTGGACATCCCAAAGAAAGTTGAGCAACAGCTCCTGTTATCAATTGTGTCATAAGGTGTTGCACTACATCAAAGTTCATCAAGCAGGTAAAGTTCAAGTGAACTTAGTGCCCAATCATTATAGCAATTCAAACATATTATCTATATACATATAAATATACCAAGGAATAACATAACATGCACTTCAACACGGTATCCTTTCGAGGTGTTCATCAAGGTCCTTTTTGAAGACAGTAAGAAGAGTTCAGAAAGAGGCATAACTAGCGTCCAGTGTTCAAGAGGTAACTTGATAAACACCTCCACCGGCTACCTGATCAACCGGGCTGTGATTCACGTCACAGACTACGTGCAGCAGCGTCTAACAATCAGGTTGACCAATGCTGCTGTTCACCCAAAGCCTCAGTCTCTCGCTGGGTAGAGGAACATCTTATCACAACACCACAACCAGAATCCCTGATCAGAGACTGGGTCGAGGGAGAACATCGATCCTCGGACCCAACTCAAGGTAACTAATTACAGGAGGAATGGCACAGTGCCACAGGAAGCCCGTCAGTACTCACCAGGGCCAGGATGCGGGGCCGGTTCCGCTGCAGCAGGAGCGAGGGGTCCGGCTGCCAGGAGCAGCAGCAGGAGGAGGAGGGGCAGCAGGAGACGTTGTGGGGGGCAGGGGGTGCCAGGGAGGAAGCAGGGGGTGCCAGGGAGGAAGCACCGCACCCCCTGGACCCATCTCACCATCCTCGCCGCCTCCCCTCACATCTGTAACAATACACATCATAACTATTATTTCTAGTCAGACTTCCTATTTCTATATCATACGTTAAAACTAAATTGGTAAACATTCAAAATACCACGTTAATATATTTCACAAGTTTGATTCAAATATTTAAAAGTTTAAACCACAATGAACCGTTTCACATCAACTGCCACAAGTCATGTGGTCAGTGACACGATAATACATGAGAAAGTATAAGAAATTTTGTTTTAAAATAATTTTAGGATCCAGTTATTAAAATCCAGTTCAAGATCCAGTTATCACATTTACGTTCAGTGGCTACGTGGTATCAGGTATCGCACCCACTGCTGCCAACACGATCGAATCCCGCCACAAGCACGTTTCACCCCACACCGCTTGCATCAAGACCAATCAGAACTGGAGAAAGGCGCAATAGTAAGAGTCAATCAGCCAATGGCAATAACCATTACTCACCCCAACCATCCGGCCAATCATAAATGAATTAGCTGCCCCAGCCAATGACAGGACAGCTTTCTTCTCCAAAGTGGCCACAATTTAAGTGACGCAATTTTGGGAGCTGGTCAGTCCTTAGACCTCAGTGCTGGTTGATACCTGGTTGCTGTAGCCAGTTCTGGGTCTCTTTCTTCCCTTACAGAATGCCAGACAAGGAAAGATGGGTAGGGGGTGTATTCTTCATTGTATGGTGGGTTGACTCCTATTTCATGCTATATCTACTTTTCAAAATTATTTAATGTGTGTGTGTGTGTGTGTGTGTGTGTGTGTGTGTGTGTACTCACCTAGTTGTGCTTGCGGGGGGTGAGCTCTGGGTCTTTGGTCCCGCCTCTCAACCGTCAATCAACAGGTGTACAGGTTCCTGAGCCTATTGGGCTCTATCATATCTACACTTGAAACTGTGTATGGAGTCAGCCTCCACCACATCACTTCCTAATGCATTCCATTTGTCAACCACTCTGACACTAAAAAAGTTCTTTCTAATATCTCTGTGGCTCATTTGGGCACTCAGTTTCCACCTGTGTCCCCTAGTGCGTGTGCCCCTTTTGTTAAATAGCCTGTCTTTATCAACCCTGTCGATTCCCTTGAGAATCTTGAATGCGGGGATCATGTCCTCCCTAACTCTTCTGTCTTCCAACGAAGTGAGGTTCAATTCCCGTAGTGTGTGTGTGTGTGTGTGTGTACTCACCTAGTTGTACTTGCAGGGGTTGAGCTCTGGCGCTTTGGTCGAAGTGTACGTGTGCGCGCGCTTGCGATTGTGAAAAAGAGAAAGGAAGGAACCAGAGGAACCAGTGGAAAGGAGGCACCCACAGACTCCAAACAGCAGCATTTGCCAAGGACAACAGGACCTAGTCGAGAATTCTGGTTCAAACATGACTACAGCACTGAGCCGACCTCTCATGGTGTTAAAATGAGAACTTTGTAACATATCAGACTGCGAGCAGCGGCGTCTAACAGCCTGGCTGGCCAGATCACCAACTTGGAGGTCTGTTCGGAGACCTGGCCGCGAGAGCATTAGTCCTGGAAGAGTCTATAGACTTCATCCATCTCTGCTTGACCAGGCAGGTATCAAGGAGTCATTGTATCAGATGATGAAGAGTTTGAAAGGAACGGCCCAGGAGCTAAAAGACCAGCGACTCTTACGCCAAAGAGAGGAAGGAAGAGAAGAACGAAGAGATTAAAGAATTAAAAACAAAGAAACCTGAAGAACAGTGTGAGATGCGATGTTCCATGGTAACATTTGATCTAAGAATGTGTGAAGGCGGGTGTGTTGTGGGGGTCACGTGACCTCGGTGGTTACCAACGCTTCCTCCCTCTAGTTAAACAGTTTAAGATTACCATAAAGCCCCGGACGGTCATGAGAGGTCGTGGAGCGCGACGAGCGACCTGGACAACGGTGGGGAGTGACCTGGGGAGGGTGGAAGGCCATGGGGAGGGAGGGGAAGAAAGAAGGAACACTTGGTCCAGCCTTCAGCGTATTCCCACAACGTATCATGGAGGTACCGCCTGCTGGTGTCGTCACCTCACCCCATGTACACCTCTTAACAACATCGAGCCGAAAAGATGAGTCTCCCCTTTGAGAATTATTCTATCAAGCCTGACCTGACTAGGAGGTCGGAGATATACAGACATGAACTATCTTAACATCTAATCACCACAAGGGTCACCATGACTACTGCGGTACCGCCAAGACACCCGACACAAGGTCCCACCCAGACCTCTACACCTCCTGCCCCTACAAGGGTACCTCTACACATTTCCTTCAAGAAGTTCCGGACTAACCGGGCTGTGGTGGATATATGGGCCTGCGGGCCGCACCTAACTACAGCCTGGTGGTGGACCAAACTCTCACGAGTCAAGTCTGGCCTTGGGCCGAACTTGGGGAGTAGAACTCCCAGAATCCCCATCAAGCAGGTAGGTATCAAGGTACACCTCGTGCCTCTACAAGGGTACCTCATCACCTCCATGGAATGGATTAAGAAATTATGACATCAGATTGCCCTCCGATGGTTCCTAATACTACCCGGGAGCAACAATTACTTAGTACTACATCTGGTTAATTATCACTGGACTGTCTAATCATACATATAAGGTCTTTAGTCACCATCAGAGGATCTAATTGCCACATGCAAGCACCTTAACCACCGAACTGGTTTCAATAGCTCAATAATCATCGCACCATTACAGAACCTCTAATCATTTCAATTATAAGTCCAATTACCATTTCACAGTGTAATCGCTGATCTAAATAGCTCAACTCGAGCCCAGGGAATTCATACCGATAAAAGATACAGGCGGGAGGCCCAGGTATCACAATAGATACAACAACAGGGCCGTTGGTCACCTGGGCACGTGGTGAGGGTTGGTTACAGTAACAATGCTGGTAACAGGCAACACGAGCCTCATTCACCAGGGCAGGAAGTGTGAGGCAAGAGAGGATACTGGTGCTACATTTCATTGGTCAAAAGTCAAGCGACTTGGAGCTACTCCCGTGATATTTAGGGAAAGGCGGAGGGAAAGAGAGAGAGAGAGAGATTGTGGGGATTGAGCTTCGGCTTTCTGGTCCTACCTTTCAACCGTCAATCAACAGATGTACAGATTCCTGAGCCCATTTTGCTCTATCATATCTACGTTTGAAACTGTGTATGGAGTCTGTCTCCACCACATTATTTCCAAATGCATTCCATTTATTAACTACACTGACACTTAAAAAAATATTTCTAATGTATTTATGGGTCATTTGGCATTCAATTTTCACCTTTGTCCACTTTTGCGCGTGCCCCTTGTGTTAAATAAAGTGTCTTTGCCTACCTTATCAATTCCTTCGAGAATCTTGTATGTGGTGATCATGTCCCCCCCTAACTCTCCTGTCTTCCAGCGACTTAAAGATTAATTCCCGTAGTCTCTCCTCATAGTTCATGCCCCTCAGTTCGGGTACTAGTCTGATGGCAAACCTCTGACCTTTCTCCACTTTAGTGTGTGTGCGTGTGTGTACTCACCTAGTTCACCTAGTTGTACTCACCTAGTTGTGCTTGCGGGGGTTGAGCTCTGGCTCTTTGGTCCCGCCTCTCAACCGTCAATCAACAGGTATACAGGTTCCTGAGCCTATTGGGCTCTATCATATCTACACTTGAAACTGTGTATGGAGTCAACCTCCACCACATTGCTTCCTAATGCAATGTGTGCGTGTGTGTGCGTGCGTGCGTGCGTGCGTGTGTGTGTGTGTGTGTGTGTGTGTGTGTGTGTGTGTGTGTGTGTGTGTGTGTGTGTGTGTGTGTATGTGTGTGTGTGCGCGTGTGTGCGCGTGTGTGCGTGCATGCATGTGTCATTGAGTGAGACAGCAACATTTTCACCAAGCCAGAAGGGCATTAAGTAGTGACAGGCAGCTCTTGTTGATGTTCGTGCTGCTGATGTGCCCGTTCTTAATGCTGCCGCCACCAAGGTCGAGATGCTGGGCGATTAAAAGTGTGACTGACTGGAAGTCGGGGTGAGTGAGTAGCAGATGCATACTGGATGTCTACCTCTTGATGATTTCAAGCGTTCAAGCCCTGTGGCCAGCCTCTCCATGGTGATTATCTAGGCTGTGGGGCGTTGCTTGTCTTCATAGTCCGGTGGCCCACATAGCCATCACAGTCAGCGTGATCTGGTAACTCCAGCAGAAGATGAGGAGCTGGGAAGAGTTGGAGAATTGGGGAGGTGGAGTTAAGATAGAGGGGTGGAGAGCAGTTGAGGCAGGGCGGAGAGCGGGGAGGAACATTAACGGCTCTGGAGAATACCGGTCTCCTGCTCTCGCAAGGAATTACTGAAATGTGTGGATTTGGAACCAGTACGTATAATACAGATGTTGGTAAGGCTGTCTCTAGCCGGCATGCCGAAGAATATAATCTGAGGGATTATAGGCATTCCCAATAAGTTAGGAGGTTTAGACTTACAAGAGTAGACGGCTTCTAACTCCTGTTAGCAAGCTTTCCCTTCCCATAGCTCATGGTAAGCCTTACCCACTAGTTCTGCTTGGGAAAACGATCCGTCAATCAGTTTACAAGCAGGTACCCAATTACTGATGGGAGAATAGTGGGGAAGAGTTAAGGACTGACGATCTGTCAATACTCATGGCCAGGGATCGAATCCTTCTTCTGACAGTTTTACGTTCAATATCGAGTCGATTAAAGCTCTTAGTATTGATCTACGATCATTAGCCTAGACACACCAGGCTAATGAGTCAAGAGATGTCAGAAAGGGTTTCTTCATTGTAAAAGTTACCAATAAAAGGAAATGGACAAACGAAAAAGTGGTTAAAGCTCATTCAATGCACGATTTCAAATGTAAATGTGATAAGAGAAACTACAGAACAGTCATTGCATCACACACACATCAAACTAGAAGCTTGCATATGAGAACTGGACAAGTTTCCGCTGGAGTTACAGTCAGCCAGGCTGCCAAGTCTAGCCATAACCTTCAACAAGGTTACCTTGCCATGATTGGTAAAGGTAAACTAAATCTACTTACTAAA